TTTTGGTTCCATATGAAGTTCAAGGTGGATTTTTCCAGTTCTGTGAAGAAAGTCAATGGTAGTTTGATGGGGATAGCATTGAGTCTGTAAATTACTTTGGGCAGTATGGCCATTTTCATGATATTGATTCTTCCTAACCATGAACATGGAGTGTTTCTCCATCTGTTTGTGTCCTCACTTAATTCGTTGAGCGGTGGTTTGTAGTTTTCCTTGAAGCGGTCCCTTATGTTCCTTGTAAGTTGTGTTCCTAGGTATTTTATTCTCTTTGTAGCAATTGTGAATGGCAGTTCATTCTTGACTTGGCTCTCTTTAAATCTGTTATTGGTGCATAGGAATGCTTGTGATTTTTTACATATTGATTTTATATCCTGAGACTTTGCTGAAATTGCTTATCAGTTTCAGGAGTTTTTGGGCTGAGTCAATGGGGTCTTCTAGATATACTATCATGTCGTCTGCAAATAGAGACAATTTGGCTTCCTCCTTTCCTATTTGAATACCCTTTATTTCTTTTTCTTGCCTGATTGCTCTGGCTAGAACTTCCGGTACTATATTAAATAGGAGTGGTGAAAGAGGGCATCCTTGTCTAGTGCCAGATTTCAAAGGGAATGCTTCCAGCTTTCGTCCATTCAGTATGATATTGGCTGTTGGTTTGTCGTAAATAGCTTTTATTATTTTGAGATACATTCCATCGATACCGAGTTTATTGAGGGTTTTTAGCATAAAGCACTGTTGAATTTTGTCAAAGGCCTTCTCTGCGTCAATTGAGATTATCATGTGGTTTTTGTTTTTGGTTGTGTTTATGTGGTGAATTATGTTTATAGACTTGCGTATGTTGAACCAGCCTTACATCCCCGGGATGAAGCCTACTTGATCACAATGGATAAGCTTTTTGATGTGCTGTTGCAATTGGCTTGCCAGTATTTATTGAAGATTTTTGCATCTATGTTCATCATGGATACTGGCCTGAAGTTTTCTTTTCTGGTGGAGTCTCTGCCGGGTTTTGGTATCAGGATGATGTTGGTCTCATAAAATGATTTGGGAAGGATTCGCTCTTTTTGGATTATTTGGAAGAGTTTCTGAAGGAATGGTACCAGCTCCTTTTTGTGTGTCTGGTAGAATTCGGCTGTGAACCCATCTGGACCTGGGCTTTTTTTGTGTGGTAGGCTCTTAATTGCTGCCTCGACTTCTGACCTTGTTATTGGTCTATTCATAGTTTCGGCTTCCTCCTGGTTTAGGCTTGGGAGGACACAAGTGTCCAGGAATTTATCCATTTCTTCCAGGTTTACTAATTTATGTGCATAGAGTTGTTTGTAATATTCTCTAATGATGGTTTGAATTTCTGTGGAATCTGTGGTGATTTCCCCTTTATCATTTTTTATTGCATCTATTTGGTTATTCTCTCTTTTCTTTTTTATCAGTCTGGCTAGTGGTCTGCCTATTTTGTTGATCTTTTCAAAAAACCAGGTCTTGGATTTATTGATTTTTGGAAGGGTTTTTCGTGTCTCAATCTCCTTCAGTTCAGCTCTGATCTTAGTTATTTCTTGTCTGCTGCTGGGTTTTGAGTTTTTTTGATCTTGCTCCTCTAGCTCTTTCAATTTTGAAGATAGGGTGTCAATTTTGGATGTCTCCTTGATTCTCATGTCGGCACTTATTGTTATATACTTTCCTCTAGAGACTGCTTTAAATGTGTCCCAGAGATTCTGGCATGTTGTGTCTTCATTCTCACTGGTTTCGAAGAACTTCTTTATTTCCGCCTTCATTTCATTGTTTATCCAGTCAACATTCAAGAGCCAGTTTTCAGTTTCCATGAAGCTGTGTGGTTCTGAGTTAGTTTCTGAATTCTGAGTTCTAACTTGATTGCACTATGGTCTGAGAGACTGTTTGTTATTATGTCAGTTGTTTTGCATTTGCTGAGGAGTGCTTTACTTCCAATTATGTGGTCAATTTTAGAGTAGGTGTGATGTGGTGCTGAGAAGAATGTATATTCTGTGGATTTGGGGTGGAGAGTTCTGTAAATGTCTATCAGGTTTGCTTGTTCCTGGTCTGAGTTCAAGCCCTGGATATCCTTGTTGATTTTCTGTCTGGTTGATCTGTCTAATATTGACAGTGGAGTGTTAAAGTCTCCCACTATTATTGTGTGGGAGTCTAAGTCTCTTTGTAAGTCATTAAGAACTTGCCTTATATGTCTGGGTGCTCCTGTATTGGGTCCATATATATTTAGGATCATTAGCTCTTCTTGTTGTATCAATCCTTTGACCATTATGTAATGTCCTTTTTTGTCTCTTTTGATCTTTGTTGCTTTAAAGTCTATTTTATCAGAGACGAGAATTGCAAGTCCTGCTTTTTGTTTGCTCTCCATTTGCTTGGTAAATCTTCCTCCATCCCTTTATTTTGAGCCTTTGTGTATCCTTGCATGTGAGATGGGTTTCCTGGATATAGCACCCCGATGGGTTTTGGCTTTTTATCCAATTTGCCAGTCTGTGTCTTTTGATTGGTGCATTTAGCCCATTTACATTTAGGGTTAATATATTTATGTGTGAATTTGATACTGCCATTTTGATGTCAGCTGGCTGTTTTTTTGTGTTAGTTTATGCAGATTCTTCATCTTGTTGATGCTCTTTAGCATTTGATATGTTTTGGAATGGCTGGTACTGGTTGTTCCTTTCTATGTGTAGTGCCCTTTCAGGAGCTCTTGTAAAGCAGGCCTGGTGGTGCCAAAATCTCTGAGTACTTGCTTGTTTGCAAAGGATTTCATGTTTACTTCACTTGTGAAGCTCAGTTTGGCTGGATATGAAATTCTGGGTTGAAAGTTCTTTTCTTTAAGGATGTTGAATATTGGCCTCACTCTCTTCTGGCTTGTAGGGTTTCTGCCAAGAGATCGGCTATGAGTCTGATGGGCTTCCCTTTGTGGGTGACCCAGCCTTTCTCTCTGGCTGCCCTTAGCATTTTCTCCTTCATTTCTACCCTGGTGAATCTGAAGATTAGGTGCCTTGGGGTTGCTCTTCTTGTGGAATATCTTTGTGGTGTTCTCTGTATTTCCTGGACTTGAATATTGGCCTGCCTTGCTAGGTTGGGGAAATTTTCCAGAATAATATCCTGAAGAGTATTTTCCAGCTTGGATTCATTGTCTTCGTCACACTTAGGTACACCTATCAAACATAGATTAGGTCTCTTCACATAGTCCCACATTTCTTGGAGATTTTGTTAATTCCTTTTTGTGCTTTTTTCTCTAATCTTGGCTTCTTGTTTTATTTCACTGAGTTGATCTTCAACTTCTGACATCCTTTCTTCTGCTGGTCAATTCAGCTGTTGAAACTTGTGCATACCTCATGAAGTTCTCGTGTTGTGTTTTTCAGCTCCTTCAATTCACTCATATTCCTCTCTAAGTTGTCCATTCTTGTTATCATTTCCTCAAATCTTTTTTCAAATCTTATTTCAAGGTTCTTAGTTTCTTTGCATGGATTTAGAACATGTTCTTTTAGCTCCCGGAAGTTTCTCATTACCCACCTTCTGAAGTCTGATTCCATCATGTCATCACACTCATTCTCTGTCCAGCTTTGTGCCCTTGCTGGTGAGGAGTTTTGGTCCTTTGTAGGAGGCGAGGTGTTCTGATTTCAGGTGTTTTTCTCCTTTTTGCGCTGGTTTCTTCCCATCTTTGTGGATTTATCCACCTATATTCTGAGTGGTTGCTGATTTTCTGATTGGGTCTCTGAGTGGACGTCCAGATTGTTGATGATCAAGTATTTCTGTTTCTTAGTATTCCTTCTAACAGTCTGGCCCCACTGCTGTAGGACTGCCAAGGTCCACTACAGGCCCTGCTTGCCTGGGGAACTCCTGTAGCAGCTGCAGAACTGTGAGGGTTGCTACCAGATTCTTCTTCTGCTATCTTTGTCCCTGAATGATGCCCACCAAATGTCAGTCTGATCAGTCCTTTGTGAGGTGACTCTTTGGATACACGGGGCTCAGGGAGCTGCTTGAGGAGACAGTCTGTACTTTATAGGAGCTCAAGTGCTGAGCTGTGAGCTCCATTGTTTATTCAGGGCTGCTAGGAAGGTACGTTTAAGTCTGCTGCAGCAGAACTCATAAACCCCCCCTTTTTTTTCCCTCAGGTTCTCTGTCCCGGGGAGTTAGGGCTTTATTTATGAGTATCTGTTGCACTTTCCTGCCCAGCGAGGAGGCAGTCTAGTCACTGCCTGCCTGTAGTGGCTATGATGAGCTGCCATGGGCTCCGCCCTGTTGCTGTGGGCTCCGCCCTGCTGCCGTGGGCTCTGCCCTGCTGCCGTGTGTAATTCCCTGTAGTCCTGTTTATATGGGTGTGGTTAGAACTGCAGTGGCGATGGTGGCCCACCTCTGTAGTGGTGGACTCTCTCTGTTATGGCGGGTTGCCTCGACAACGGCAGGCAGCATCAGCAATGGCTGAGTACCTCCATAGGGGTTGCGTGCCTCGGTAGTGGCGGACGCCCCTCCCCCACCAAGCTGCATTGTCCTGGGTTCAGCTATGCTTGCTGTGAAACTCTCAACCCCGAGCGTTTCCAATTGCTGTTTTGTTTGTTTTTGTGGGGGTGGGACCTGCTGAGCCTGATCACCTGGCTCCCTGCCTCTGAGCCCTTTTTTTTTTTTTAAGTTGAACGACTGACTCTCTCACAGGTGTTCCAGTCACCTGCTGAAAGGGCACCGGGATCTGTGTGATTTCCTGTGCTGCGACACACTGCGCTGGCTCAAACCACGTTGCTGCCCGGGAATCTCCTGGCCTGGCTTTCTGTTTAAGTCCCGTTCAATCAGATCAATGTGCTAATCTGCCTTCTGAAATCTCCAATTGCCAGTTTAACAGGGCAACCAAACCAGTGTATTTTGTACGGAGTGTCGCTGCTCTGCAGCCTCGGCCCAAACAGCTGCGCCAGCCCAAACAGCTGCAGTGGCAGCCCATGGGGCTCTTGCACCTGGGAATCTCATAGTCTATGGACAATAAAGATCCATATAGAAATGTGGCATGCACTCACCCTCTGCAGATTCACTGGGAGCTGCAATCCTGAGTTGGTCCTACAGCACCATCTTCCCTCTTCCTCCCTATATTGTAAAATTTTTAAAAGGAGATTAAATAAATGATGATGCATTCATTTGATAACTATTTTATAGTGAATAAATAACAGTATTTTAGTAAATATTTAGTGATGTAGAAACATATATGGAATTAGTTTTATACAAAATTAGTGAAAAATATTCAGAGTATTTATGCCTATGTTGAAATTGGAATGAAATATATTCAGTTATTACTGGCAGTTATCTTTAGGTGGTGAAATTACAGGAATTTTAAAATTACTTTCCTTTATACATATATTTTCAAAGTATTTATATTTATGGTTGACATATCTGGTGCATTATCCAAACTTCCCCTCAAAATTAAATAGCCACACTCACAGCCTTGTCCAGCAACAGTTGCTCTTTGGGCATGGGTGATTCTCTGATTGGTCTAGGGAGAGTTGCCTGGCCCCACATAACCTCACCCCTTAGGGTGGCTGATGAATCATGCAATGCACCACTTTCATGGGTTATAAGAGAGGATAATGGGAGGGAAAGAGGGTGAGATGGTTGGTCCCCAAAGCTGCCTCCATTTTAATAATTTCCTAGTTCCAATTAAAGTAGATATATACCTTGCCATAACTACCCCTCTTCTCATCTGTTTCTTGTAAACAACTGCAAAAGCACAATACCAGCCTTATCTATTATAATCAGGAAATAATGCTAAATTTTATTTTCAAATAAAGCTGTAGCAAGGTAATAACTTTTTATGCTTTCTGCATTATACAAAGATAATTAGGCATATTTTATATTCTTGGCATTCTGTTGAGCAGCATATGCTTTTCTCAAGAGATTAAAGCTGTGTGCTCTGCTTCTCTATTTTTAGAATTCTGAGCAAATAACAATATTGTTTTATTTGAAGCTCGTTTATAATACTTTCCCCCTAAATGTGAGTCTTAATCTTGTAGAAATTCATTTATCATACCTCTTCCAGTGTAGTTTCCTTTATTTATTAGTGCTATATTCTTCCCAAAGCATTTCTGAGAGTGGCATTTTAGTAACACTGTGATCTCCAGCCCAGTGTGCTTTGGAAACTGAGAATCCATGTGTGGTCTGCAATCAGGAAATATTGTGTTAGAAGAAATAATTACTAAAGGGGTGGATGAACAGAAGGAAGAGATCTTAATATCAGTTAAGTATGTTTTTTCCTGTCTGTCATATGCTTAGCACTGTGCCAGCCTTTGGGAAGCTATGATGATAAGGATGATTTCTATTCTTAAGGAGCTTAAAATAATGTTATGTTGGACTGCAAGTTATCAGGTTTAGATCCTCCCTAACAGAAATCTATTTTTATGGGTGACCTTCTCCTGAAGGCTGGACCATCCTGGAATATGTGAAGCTCTGGAGAAATACATGGAGTCCTTGTCTATAAACAATTTGAGTCACCTTTAATCACTGTTTCAGTCCATTCTGGAGGCCCATTCTCAAGGAGTCCTTCAAAAGACATTCTACATCAGCCTGTGGGAGTAATCAGCTTGCCAGGCCAGCACCCTGAACCCCTGGAATAACCCCATAGATGGGAATCTTAGAGCTCCTCAGGGCATCTAATTGGTTCTACACATAAGATAGAGGTTTGACTGAGATCCATGAGGGTCCATGTCTTGGCATGGAAAGGTCTACCTGGATGACACTGTGGGCCCAACCTGTCTTAGGCACTGGAAGGGGACTAGAAAATTTTGAGGAAGATCCTCCAAAGCACAGTCCCCATAAGGTATGGGGCTTGGGGCAGGAGTTCTTTTCACTGAGGTCTAATAGCAGTACTAAAGGTAGACATTTCTCTTTCTCTTCCTTTTTTCAAATGCCCTTCCCTCTCACTCACTTTGTCACATAAATACCCAGTGTCCAAGGCACTAAATATAGTAAGTAATGACCTTGGTAATGGAAAATTCCACTTCCGTCCCTAGAGTCTGACATGCCATCACTAAATTTCCAGACAGCTTATCATTAATGACAGCAGTATGAGCACATTTAAATTTACATTCCAAAACTCCAGACAGATAAGGGAACATGGATAAAAGCTCTTGTTCTTATATTCAGACCATATGACTCATATATATATACACGTATTTTATTCCTTGACCACTTAACTGTGAGGTCATGATGCTGATGAGCCACATGGATTTCTTCTTGTAAACCAAGAGCCTTCCACCAAATCAGGATCACTGAGCTATTACTACCTGAACAGCATGTAACTTTCAGCCAAGTGCTAAAGACCATAGGCAGAAGTTCTGGCAGCTGGAGCCCCAGAGGATGAAAGTGGGACACTAAAAGGAGATGGGGTCTAGTGCACCCTTTGTTCCAGACACAAAGACTGAAGTATGAGCCCTATGAAAAGAAAGATCGCTAGCAAAAGCTGAAGGAGCCTCTCTTCTTAGACATTCAGTGGCATAAGGCAACTCAGTGTAGTTTTAGAGCACAGATGAGATGTGTTATAAATTACATCAAAATGTCAATGTTTTCCTTTTTGTGGTGCTTTTCCACAGAGTGGACCCCTGAGCTACAGTTGCATCTGGAAGCTTGGTGACTTAGGAGGTACCAGGAGATGCTACTCTCAGCTCAGGTACCAGTGTCCTCATAATGGGAACAATGGCAGAGATGACAATTCTCAGGTTTTCAAGAGTCCTGAGGATGTATGAATATCAGCTTTTCATAAATTGGCATCAGAGAGGGAGAATAGAGCAGGTGTGGCATTGAACTGTGGCTGACAGATATCAAATCTTTTATTCATACTCCAAGCTGACATAATACTTAATAGAGGTAAATTTTCTTCTTCCATTTCCCAGAAAAATATTTCTTAGAAAAATGTAAAGAACTTAGGATTTAGCCATAGACCTGAATTCGAATCCTGGCTTTTTGGATTATTAATTGTCTTTATTAAAAAAAAAATTAAAACCCACCTCCTGCACAATAATTAACAGTCTTTCAACAAGCCACTTGATCCTTTAGAGACTTAGTGTCCTCATCTGTAACATGCAGAAAATATTAAATTCATAGAGGTAGTACAAGGATTAAATATGCCCTGTTAAGTCTGTTACAAAATCTTTTGTGTTACTAGTCATATGGTCACTATTTTCTAAGGGCCTACAGTTATCGTGTTCTTCAAAGTATATATGAGGATATACTGTTCTTCTTCTTCAAAAACATAGGCTTCTTTGCTGGATCCTTCTTCCCCTGGTTGCCAGTTACAGTAGTAAACAATCAGGTACAAGTGCTTGTTTTCTACCAACAGTTGTTGGAGGCAGAAAACTCATTTCTTCAAGGCCTTTAAAAGCTACAAGACACTAATACATGTCTGTGTGCCAGCAGTTTAGAAACGAAAGTTCCCACATTCCTTGCGCCTGTTTCATTAGTTTACCCCACCTTGTTGGTGTTAAGGTTTTATAAATAATCAAGACAGGATTGATTTGTTCCATTTCAGCAAAGTGTAAAAGAAAACAGTCAAGAAATCACTCCCGTCATCATTCCCCCACCAATCACACTACTCTTTAAAACTGGGCATAAGCCTGTGTAGCCTTTCTCAGTTGGGTGAAAGATGATTTCGTTTTAGCAATCTTCAGGGAAGTTATTTCTGGTTTTGTACAAACATGCCAAAATAATGCAGCAGACTTCATAAAGAGCCCCATTTGATTTCTCTCTGGCTAAAGGGATACTTGAGATGCAGTATTATTAGGATTTATGGTGTTCAGTCAGACCTACCTGGATGTGGCCTAGAGTAATGGAAGGAACATTGAGGTGAGAATCAGAATACATGGGGTGCTTAAAGGTCTCTGGTGCTGGGGTTTAAAAGCCTCTTAGGCAGAACTCTGTAAATTCCAGACTAGGGCTGCCCTTTAGATATGAATAGAGAAAGGGGCAAGAATCTTCAACGAGAGTAGACCTACTTTTGTAGGTTCTATATACTAGATCTCCATATACAATCAATCCCATCCACAAATATAGTCTATAAAACTTTCTGTTGTCCAGATTTTATCTACAACTTCCTAAGTGATAGACCCTTGTACCTATGCCTGAACACCTTCAGCAGTAGTTCTCCCAAGACAGCTGTCTTTGGACTGACATTTCCAGAATTCTCTTCTAGTTCTATTAATCTACACCAATGTATGAATGTAAACAGGAAATACAATGGTGTGAAGACAGATTAAAGGCACTTGCCTATAATCCATAGCATCTCACAGTTACTTTTTTTTCCGTAGCCAATGCACACACCAAAAATTTTAAATTTATTTTTGTAATGTATTTTTAAAACATGTGAAACTACCCCCTTTCTTTGACACAGGGTGTTGTTCTCTTCAATAGAGAAAACATTCACATCATGATTGATTTAATTTTTTCCCTTTTAAATCATAAACAGTCCTGGTACAAGAAACAGTAGCTGTTATTGATTAAAAGTTCATTTGCCTTGCCTGGGCTGATGATTGATATTTGGAAGGCAGGAGGGATGTTGGATTTGGGCAGGGGGATTGGAAGTGAGGCAATTTTGTCACATTACCTGTTCTTTATAAGAATGTTAGTGTTGGAGGAAATTTGGGTTTGGGGAAAGAGGTTGTTTTCTCTGTGTAAATTTTAGTAGATGTCGGTCCACTTTTTTGTTTTGCTTTGTTTCTCACTATGCTGGGTTCACCAGCTTTAAGGACCTGCAGTGCACATGAGTTTGTGAGAGTCCTCTAAGTGGGTTTTTAATGGTCTGTTGAATAAAGCAGCTACCAGTTCAGGAAATGCATGCATTTTATAGGTGCATATTTTCAAAGCTTCTATTTGTGAGTGCCAGTTGAGAAGTGCCTTTGTATGTGTTCTTCACAGACCCAATATAGCAATAAAGACTGCCTTTGGAAGCATTAAAAAGCAAAGAATAAATTTCCATGCCCCACTTATGCTTCTAATACAAAAATAATAAACTTATGGTTAAAGAGATCTTACCTTTGGAAAAGTTATTTGAGCCCATCAGAAAATTATAGTTTCACAAGTGTGGCAATCAGATTCTTTGAATACGTTTGTCAATGATATTTGTAATCAAGACATGGGATCTTAAAAATGGTAAGAAGTAGTTAGTAGTTACAACAGAACTCTTAGTCTTCAGTTTTCTCATTTTTCTGTGTTGTGAACATTACCTCCCTTTTAGTTTTTAACTGTAGCAAATATATACCATACCTAGAGATCCTTGAACTTGTCAGTTAGCAGAACATCTGGAAGTAATAGCAATCTTTGCACAATACCATTTAATATTGACATATTAAATTTAAAATAACAGAATATATAATATGACACCAGGTTTTATTAGATATTAATAAAGGCAATGGGTAGCAGTACCAAATATTTAAGAAAAAATGTGGTAGGAAACCTTAGATCTGAAAGATATTTTATTAAATTTATTTTTCTGAAAAATTAAAAAGACTGCTATTATTCATATGGCACAGTACCCTGACTAAAATTATGGGAAAATGGTCTTCCATAGAAAGCATAGTTTGATAACAAGTATCATGAGTACAGACAACATGAAAATTTTGAATAAGCTTATAAAGAGCTTATGTATCATAAGTTTGACTTTTTAAGAGTTGCTTTAAAGTTCTTGGAATTATCTAAGCCAAAACCAAAGGGAAAATGCAAATAAGGAAATGCTGATGGATTTGAATACATACAATGTAAAACCAGTTTGTTGCATAAAACATTATAAGTAAAATTAAAAGAAAAAAAGACAAATTCAAAAAAAATTACAACATCTATTATAAAACATTACTATATTTAAAATGAGAGATTTTATAAATCAATAAGTGAAAGACTAATACTCAGCTAAAAATTAGTGGGCAAAAAAGATAATAAGCCATTTATAAAAGAAGAAATGCAAGCAGCCAATGTATGTAGTAAAAATTATTCAACATTATTGCAACAAAATACAGTGAAATGACATTTATTTCTATCAGTCTGCAGTTTTAGGGAAATGGATGTAGTCATACACTGCTATGTATGCTGGCACAATTTTCAGAAAAATAATTTGGGATCGTCTATCAAAAGCCTTTAAAATGTTTATACCTTTAATGTAATAAATAGTTTCATCCACAAACCTGTTGTTATCTCTCATTGTTTCCCTTACACTAACGATTTTGTGGGCATTCATTGTATTTGCAATTGAAAAATTGTAAACAAGTCTTGTTGTTTAATCCTAAAGAACAGATTAGTAAATTATGATGCAGCACATGATATTGTAGTGTAAGCTGTGTAATTATTATACTATTGATCGTCCCTTATTGATATTAATTTGTATTCATAATATTAAATTTAAAAGCAAGCTTCAAAGATGTATTATGCTAAGGTTCTGTTTCTGTTAAATTATATATGCAGATTAAAAAGCTGGGGGCTGGGCACAGTCGCTCATACCTGTAATCCCAGCACTTTGGGAGGTCCAGAGATTGAGACCAGCCTGGCTAACATGGTGAAACCCTGTCATTACTAAAAATACAAAAAAATAGCTGGGCATGGTATGGTGGTGGACACCTATAATCCCAGCTACTCAGGAGGCTGAGGCAGGAGAATCACTTGAACCCGGGATGCAGAGGTTGCAGTGAGCGAAGATTGTGCCACTGCACTCCAGCCTGAGTGACAGAGCAAGATTGCATCAAAAAAACAGAAAACCCAAAAACAAAAAGCTGAAAGTCCGCATATCAAATGTTTATGCCATTATATCTGGGTGGATTGAATTACGTGTGTTTATTTTATTGGTTTTTCAGCCTAAACCCTTTTTTTCTGTAATGATTATGTGTGTTAGATTAAGAAAAAAAGAAAAATTTATTTTAAGCTCCATCCTGCAGAAGCTCTCTAAAAAGATTAAATGACATATCTAGCCCAAGTTATATCATTACCACTAACCATCTTTGTTTTCCTCTAAAAATAACTTCTCTTACAAATTCTTCCTTTCTAGAGTGCTTTTTCCAATTTTACTCATGGGTCATCTCAGCCATGATGACTTTCATATTCCTCCAAGGGACCATAACGTTTGTTTCTATGCAATAAACTCTCCCAATCACTAGTGATAAAATGAAACCACTGTAAATTAAGGTCTTTGGGAGACAAAGCCCAAGTCAATGAATAGCTTTGTAGGATCTGAATGAATTGATGAAGAAATAAGTCAGACTCTTGGCTTTCATCTTACTTCCAGTCTTTGGAATAAGAATGTTAACTCAGCCTATTTAATGTTTAGGAAAATCAAAAAAAGAAAAAGGAAATTTTAAAACTTCAGTGTCCAAGCATAAAGATACTCACTGATCGTATTTTTGAGCACCTATCCAAAGGAGATTAGAATGGTCAAAATCTGTTTAAAATAAATAAACTTGAAAGAAAAACAACAGAAACAATATACAGGTTTTGGAATGGGTGAGACCTTGGGTGCTCCTAGATCAGCCGTGCATCTTGCTAAGCTCTGAGCCCTGTGTTCTTCCATCCTTGCATCGCGCAAGCTGTGAGAATAGATGAGGCATTTAATCTTTCTGAGGTGAAATAATCCCAAAGTAACATTGTTACAAATATTAAATAAAATTAAATTTAAAACATCTCGCATTAGACAATTGGTAAATATCAATCATCCTTCATTCCAGAAGATAAATATGAGGGCAGGGGAGGAGAAAGAAGGAAGTCTCCTTCTTCTCTAACACCCATGTTCGGAATTTCAGAAACAGTCCTTGCAGTGTGGTAGGTGAAATATATATGTGTTTGGAGGGAGAGAAATGGGTATATGTTTGGAAGGAGAGAACATTTTAAAATAATTTTAACATCCATATGAGAATAAGAACTAAGAAAAATCCATGGTCATAAAGTACAGTAACTACTAAGATACTGTAGAACCCCGGAAAGCTTTGGGCCTGCTACAAATAGTTCATTATTTTTGAGAATCAGTAGGTTCTCTCCTTGCCCTGCCTGCTGGATGATGCTGAGGAATCTTAGCTATGCCACAGAATGCCTACTCCAGTTTTGTTCTTTGCCAAGTGAGAACACAATATTTTTTATCTTGTAGAATACACCAACAATACATAATGATTTTTTAAATGCTTTGAGTGCTTGAGAAGGCAATAGTTCCATCCAAATTATTGTAGTTTTTGTAATTTTTGGTGTGGCTGAAGGTGTGGGTTTTATCTTGGAAGTCTAAAGCTGGAGTAAATTCCATCTCAGTTCCAGTTGAAGTGAGAAATGCTTTTGAGGAGATCTTAAATTTTAGGAGCTCTTGAAACATGATGAATAGGTAGGAAGTTTAAGGGAAAAAAACATTTTGTGATGTTGGGGGCTGGGACTGAGGGTTGGTAAAATGGGAATGGACACGTGGTTTGTACCTCATACTGAATGTGGTTTGAGAGAGTTGGTGTGAATTAGGCATATCACAAATGTGAAACACGTCTACCACAAGGTCTGCTATTGTGAGTTTAAGTTTGGAATGCTGGAGTGATCCTTTAGGATCAAAGCTTTGGCGAGGGAAGGTGGGCAGGAGGACAGGTTCTGACTAGCCAAAAGCAAAAACTTCAAATTTTCCTCAGGAGACACGTAGTCTGAGAAAATGCTGTAGGTTGCTCAAGTATATGTGTTCACATTTATTTTGGAGTACTTTTTGAAATTTCTTAAGTAAAAATGCCTCTGCTTTAGAAATGAGCAATAGCTGGTAGCTGTTGATTTTCTGTCTCTGTATCTCTTCTGCCCAGTCCTTTTGAGGCCTGTTAGCACTTCCTGCCTGAACCCTCTTGAGGAAAGAGAAAGAATAATCCTAATGGGTCACAGTCTCTTTCCTCTGCCATAAGCCTGGTTAGCTTTACTTGAAGTCAAATGACAAATAAAATATGAATGCTCATGTATTTAGAGAGGAGAAGAGGACCTGGATAGACAAATTCCTCATCTGGGACCTGGCCTCCCTGTTCCTCAAAGCAAAGAGAGCAGGACTACTCAATTTCATCACATCAGGAGCACTCAGCTGGCAAGGACAGCCCTCAGCATTCACACCAGATGTCTACTGCATCTTACAACCTTCTTGAGAAGTTAATTTTACAATAAAGGCAAAGCGCAAAACTGGCAAAGGTCCCCTGATGGAAATTGGAAATGTCAGGGAACAAACAACACAGGAAATAAGAGTTCCCTTTAGGTACTGCTCCCTGAGCTACATCCAAGAAGAGTAAGGTAGAATCCCATTCCCTGCCACAAACCCACTGTTCATCCTGAAGGACTGAAAACCCAGAAAGTAAGTTGGCCTCATTTTCTCTGCACCTCTTGACAACTCCCTATTCCTAGTCTCACAGCCTTCTTTTATTCCCTCCAAATGGAAGACTTTAAATGGAGTAAAGTCCTTTCTCCTATTAAGTGCAACAGAAGACAAACTCCTTGAGGCAGGGATTAGGTATTATATAAATTTGTATTTCTACTGCCCAGCAAAGAGACTTTCATAGAGTAGGTGCTCAATAAATGTTTGTTTATTGTGTGCATCAATTTGTTCGACTATCCAAAACATTGCCTATACTTTCACCACAGAGGAATGACATTGAATAAAAAATCCAATTAGATGAACTTCATAAAAAGATTTGATATTTGCTAGATTGTTAAGAGCAGAGATCTGTCTTTTATTTTTATAAACTTCACAACACCTGGGAAAATGCTCAATAAATTTGTGAAATGGAGGAATTAGGATAACTTCATATTCAAATACAAAATTTTCATTTCTCTGGTTCAATTGAGAAAATTGTTAGTACAATCAGAAATGACAAAGATAGGGACAAAAATAGCCAGTCAATTTTACACTCTATTTCTCTTCCCAGTAGATCAGGTGTCAATCAACCTAATATAAGAATAAGCAAAAGATTTATTCAATTGTCCTCAGTGTTAGAACAAGATCAAACAAGCTTAAGTGCAGGTGCCTAGCCTATCCAGTACAAATTTACTAGTCCTGGTTTTTGTTTTTCCATGTTCTCCTGTATGTTATTCCTGCTCTTGTGATCAGTGCCATCCAGATGAAGTCTGTGGTTCTTAGAAACTGGGATTCTTTCTTTTTTTTTTTATTGTACTTTAGATTCTGGGGTATATGTACCGATCACGCAGGATTGTTGCATAGGTGCATACCTGGCAAGGTGGTTTGCTGCCTTCCTCCCCCCATCACCTGTATCTAGTATTTCTCTTCACGTTATCCCTCCCCACCCTCCCCTCCTGCCGCTGTCCCTCCCCTAGTACCCCCCAACTGACTGCAGTGTGTGATGCTCCCCTCCCTGTGTCCATGTGTTCTAATTGTTCAACACCCGCCTGAGTGATACTTTCTTAAAACAAAATTACCAACAGCAGCCCATATGAACAGCCATCCCACAAGTTAAGAATAAAGAAGGTGGGGGAGGACTCAAGATGGCGCTGTGAGAACAACCCAGGATTGGAGCTCGCGTTGAATCCGCAAACAGTGAGTCAGAGCTGCATTTACAGACTGATCTTTGTTGCCCACAGAACGGGGAAACTCCCGAGTATAAAAAGACACGGGACGCCAGGCAGTAGGTCTGCCTGGCGAAGCTGGCAGCCGGGGCGGTGGCAGCCAGCCCTACCCAGCAATCCCCACAGGGCGCGCTTGTCCGAGTGCTCTGTTGAACCGGCAACCTGAGACTTGAGAGGGCTGGACTTGAGACTGAACGAGACTTGGACAGTAGCCCAGCCCAGGGGATTGCAGGGACAGATCATTTGGGATACCCAGTGGGACGAACAAAACTGCGATTTCAAACTATCCCGAGCAGACGGTCCGAGACGCTCTGTGGGGGAGGGGCGTCCACCACTACCGAGGCAACCCGCCCCAACTGAGATACACGCCCACTGCTGACGCAGCCAGCCGTTGCCGAGGCAACCCGCCCCAACTGAGATACACTCCCACAGCTGACACAGCCAGCCGTTGCCGAGGCAACCCGCCCCAACTGAGATACACGCCCACTGCTGAGGCAGCCTGCCGTTGCTGAGGCAACATGCTACAACGAAGAGACTCCGCTGCAGGGCATGGCGGAGACCACAGCAGAGCCTGCAGGAACAGCGCGAATCACACAACAGCAGGGCGGAGCCTCAGCAGCCAAACAGTGGCTAGTCTGCCTTCTAGCTGGGCAGGACACCTCATAGAACATCCAAAAATAAAGCCCAAACCCCTCAACACAGAGCATTTGAGGGGGAAAAAAAAGGGTTTTTTAATGAGCTCTGTTGCAGCAGAATCAAACATAGCAGCCTAACAGCCCTGAATGAACAACAGAGCGCACAGCTCAGCAATTAAGCCCGTAAAAAGTACAAACTGTCTCCTCAAGCAGCTCCCTGACCCCTCTATATCCAAAAGACTGACATTAGGCAGGCATCATCCTGGGACAAAGATAGCAGAAAAAGAAACTGGTAGCATCCCTCGCTGTGCCACAGCTGCTAGAGGTGCACCCCAGACAAGCAGGGTCTGGAGCGGACCTCAGCAGTCGTACAGCAAAGGGGCTAGACTGGTAGAAGGAAAACCAAGCAACAGAAATACTTCATCATCAACATTCCGGGTGTCCACTCAGAGACCCAATCGAAAAGTCAGCAACTACGCAAACGACCAGCAGACAAATCCACAAAGATGGGAAGAAACCAGCGCAAAAAGGAGGAAAACACCCGAAACCAGAATACCTCACCTCCTAGAAAGGACCAAAACTCCTCACCAGCAAGGGAACAAAGCTGGATGGAGAATGACTGTGACAAAATGACGGAATTAGACTTCAGAAGATGGATAATGAGAAACTTTTGTGAGCTAAAAGATCATGTATTAAATCAATGCAAAGAAACTAAGAACCTTGAAAAAAGATTTGAAAAAAGATTCAAGGAAATGATAACAAGAATGGATAACTTAGAGAGGAATATGAATGAATTAAAGGAGCTGAAAAACACAATACGAGAACGTCACGAAGCAAGCACAAGTTTCAATAGCCGAATTGACCAAGCAGAAGAAAGAATATCTGAAGTCGAAGACCAACTCAATGAAATAAAACGAGAAACCAAGATCAGAGAAAAAAGTGCAAAAAGGAATGAACAAAGTCTCCAAGAAATGTGGAACTATGTGAAAAGACCTAACCTACGTTTGATAGGTGTACCAGAAGGGAACGAAGAGAATGAATCCAACCTGGAAAATACTCTTCAGGACATCATCCAGGAAAATTTCCCCCACCTAGCAAGATAGGCCAACACTCAATTGCAGGAAATACAGAGAACACCACAAAGATATTCTGCAAGAAGAGCAACCCCAAGGCACATAATCGTCAGATTCAACAGGGTTGAAATAAAGGAGAGAATACTAAGGGCAGCCAGAGAGAAAGGTCAGGTCACCCACAAAGGGAAGCCCATCAGACTCACAGTAGATCTCTCGGCAGAAACTCTACAAGCCAGAAAAGAGTGGGGGCCAATATTCAACATTCTTAAGGAAAAGAACTTTCAACCCAGAATTTCATATCCAGCCAAACTGAGCTTCAGAAGTGAAGGAAAAATAAAATCCTTTGCGAACAAGCAAGCACTCAGAGATTTTGTCACCACCAGGCCTGCTTTACAAGAGCTCCTAAAAGAGGCACTACACGTAGAAAGGATCAACCAGTACCAGCCATTCCAAAATCACACTGAATGCTAAAGAGCTTCAACATAATGAAGAATCTACAACAACTAACAGGCAAAACAGCCACTTAGCATCAAAATGGCAGTATCAAATTCACACATAACAATATGAACCCTAAATGTAAATGGACTAAATGCACCAATCAAAAGACACAGACTGGCAAATTGGATAAAAATCCAAAACCCATCAGTGTGCTGTATCCAGGAAACCCATCTCACATACAAGGATACACAAAGGCTCAAAATAAAGGGATGGAGGAAGATTTACCAAGCTAATGGAAAGCAAAAAAAAGCAGGAGTTGCAATTCTCATCTCTGATAAAATAGACTTTAAAGCAACAAAGATCAAAAGAGACAAAGAAGGCCATTACATAGTGGTAAAAGGATCGATACAACAAGAAGAGCTAACGATCCTAAACATATATGGACCCAATGCAGGAGCACCCAGATACATAAGGCAAGTTCTTAATGACTTACAAAAGGACTTAGACTCCCACACAATAATAGTGGGAGACTTTAACACTCCACTGTCAATACTAGACACATCAACCAGAAAGAAAATAAACAAAGATATCCAGGGCTTGAACTCAGACCTGGAGCAAGCAAACCTGATAGACATTTACAGAACTCTCCACCCCAAATCCACAGAATACACATTCTTCTCAGCACCACATCACACCTACTCTAAAATTGACCACATAATTGGAAGTAAAGCACTGCTCAACAAATGCAAAACAACTGAAATCATAACAAACAGCCTCTCAGACCATAGTGCAATCAAGTTAGAACTCAGAATTCAGAAACCGACCCAGAACCGCACAGCTTCATGGAAACTGAACAACTGGCTCTTGAATGTTGACTGGGTAAACAACGAAATGAAGGCAGAAATAAAGAAGTTCTTCGAAACCAATGAGAACGAAGACACAACGTGCCAGAACCTCTGGGACACATTTAAAGCAGTCTCTAGAGGAAAGTATATAGCAGTAAGTGCCCATAGGAGGAGAATGGAGAGATCCAAAATTGACACCCTATCGTCAAAATTGAAAGAGCTAGAGGAGCAAGATAAAAAAAACTCAAAACCCAGCAGAAGACAAGAAATAACTAAGATCAGAGCTGAGCTGAAGGAGATTGAGACACGAAAAACCCTCCAAAAAATCAATAAATCCAAGAGCTGGTTTTTTGAAAAGATCAACAAAATAGACAGACCACTAGCCAGATTGATTAAAAAGAAAAGAGAGAACAACCAAATAGATGCAATAAAAAATGATAAAGGGGAAATCACCACAGATTCCACAGAAATTCAAACCATCATCAGAGAATATTACAAACAACTCTATGAGCATAAACTAGTAAACCTGGAAGAAATGGATAAATTCCTGGACTCCTGTGTCCTCCCAAGCCTAAACCAGGAGGAAGCTGAAACTATGAATAGACCAATAACAAAGTCTGAAGTTGAGGCAGCAATTAAGAGCCTACCACACAAAAAAAGCCCAGGTCCAGATGGGTTCACAGCCGAATTCTACCAGACACACAAGGAGGAGCTGGTACCATTCCTTCTAAAACTATTTCAAACAATCCAAAAAGAGGGAATCCTTCCCAAATCATTTTATGAGACCAACATCATCCTGATACCAAAACCCGGCAGAGACCCAACGAGAAAAGAAAACTTCAGGCCAATATCCATGATGAACATAGATGCAAAAATCTTTAATAAAATATTGGCAAGCTGATTGCAACAGCAAATCAAAAAACTTATTCATCATGATCAAGTAGGATTCATCCCGGGGATGCAAGGCTGGTTCAACATACGCAAGTCTATCAATGTAATTCACCACATAAACAGAACCAAAACCAAAAACCACATGATTATCTCAATTGATGCAGAGAAGGCATTTGACCAAATTCAACAGCCCTTTATGCTAAAAACCCTCAATAAACTCGGTATCGATGGAACGTATCTCAAAGTAATAAAAGCTATTTATGACAAACCAACAGCCAATATCATACTGAATGGGCAAAAACTGGAAGCATTTCCTTTAAAATCTGGCACTAGACAAGGATACCCTCTCTCACCACTCCTATTCAATATAGTACTGGAAGTTCTAGCCATAGCAATCAGGCAAGAAAAAGAAATAAAGGGTATTCAAATAGGAAAGGTGGAAGCCAAATTGTCTCTATTTGCAGACGACATGATAGTATACCAAGAAGACCCCATCGCCTCAGCCCAAAAACTCCTGAAACTGATAAGCAACTTCAGCAAAGTCTCAGGATATAAAATCAATGTGCAAAAATCACAAGCATTCTTCTACACCAATAACAGACTTAAAGAGAGCGAAATCAAGAGCGAACTGCCATTCGCAATTGCTACAAAAAGAATAAAATACCTTGGAATACAACTCACAAGGAACGTAAGGGACCTCTTCAAGGAGAACTACAAACCACTGCTCAACGAAATCAGAGAGGACACAAACAGATGGAGAAACATTCCATGTTCATGGTTAGGAAGAATTAACATCGTGAAAATGGCTATAC